CTGTGACTGTGTTTCAGGCAAATCGAATATACAAGAAAGTTGGGGAAGCAAAAAGCAGCAAAAGCAAACTTGAGGAGGCGCTTGTAATTCAATCGAGTCATGCAGGCCGGAAAGGTTTCCAGAAAACAAAAATCAATTTAAACTCGACTTGGTTGGTCATTTCAAGTACGCAATAAATCATTTGTTAAGTCGCTGAAAAATGTTTCGCTCCAACAGCAAACAAAATACAATTAATCTACACAGAAAAGTAGAAGATTGTCATGCCATGGTGATCAGAGAAATTTCAATTTTTGCCTCTGAACTTAATCTTATTGGATAACTGCACCTGAAGCAGAAGCAAACAAATGCAAACTGAATGTAAAGAGATTTCATACAATGATTAGTTAAGAGGATTCCGAAGACTGAAGCGCTCAGATTGGAATAATTTCCCATTTTCAGCATTAAATTGCTCCCCAAACCGAAGGACAATCAAATTTGTCAACGGACACACTGCTGGACACAGCTGGCATGGGGTAACTCCTTGTCACTCGCTGAGCTCTCCCTCTTGGCCACAAGCCGGTTACTTGGAGTACACACAAAGTAGTATGTAGGCTAATTATAGTAGGAAATGGTGTGGGCCTGGGTGTACTTTACAATGCAAATTGCATACACTTACAGGCACATAAGTGGCGGGTGTAGCTCACATATATAAATATCGATATTTCAGAGATGGGCAAAACTCCTAAGCGGACGGAACGGAACGAAGGACAAGACTGTACAGAGAAACATCATTTGGTGGGTTCTGCCATTAACTCGATTTCGAAGGGTTAATTGCGTTCCAAATATATGTAATTGCATTATGAGCGGGTTAAATCTTTCCAGGAAGCAATGAGATATGAAGAGCCAAGCAGAGAATCCACACAAAATATTTATGCGAAAATGTTGGCCCAAGTCTTTTGTCGTGCTGCTGTTGTGGGCCCATCTCTAGTGTGGCTGCTTGGAAATAGTACATCAAGGTAATCAAATAAGTTACGGCTATTTACAGGTGGTATTTATAGCAAGCATATGTACACACATATAAAGATATACACACGGTATACATATATATTATATCTGCGGCTGTTGCTGGTTAGGGGCGTGGGCAGTTAGATACTCGAAGGTTTTCCAGTATGGCCATGTGACGGAGAGGGGGCCGCGTGTGTGGGTGTCTCTCAAATGCAGTCCAAGCTGCAATCAAGCCCCGAGACCCCTTATTCAATAGGTAAATATGTATGTAGAGTATTGTCATATACTATGTACATACATACATTTTATGTATTTGCATAATTTATATCGCGTGGCTGACACTAATTCAATTTAATTCGAAAATCTCGATGAAAATGCTGGAAAAACGAAAGCTGAAAAGGCAGGGAAAATATGTACGTGTGTATCCAGCCAGGGGAGCTCGGAGCAACAACCACGGGTTGTCTGGGCACACGTGCTAGACAATTATTAAATATTTCCCGCTCCTAGTTCCAGTATCGATGCTCCAATACCCTTTTAGATTGGGAAAACTGTGAGCAAATGGAAGCTGGAAGAGATTTCTAGGTGTGTTATTTAGGAGCCAGCTATTGGATAACAAATGTTTGCATGCGAGTTTATCTGTGGCTCTACACACACACACACACACACAGTGGGTGAATAAAATCGAAATCATACGTTGGGGACTGGAAGGAAGAAGATGCATCCCGATAGCAAAAAAGTGGATGAGAGCGAGAGTGGGTGCAAAATAAAAAAAAAAAACAATAAAAAAATTAAATCCTTGAAATGCTTTTAGTGCAAATTGCAAACGGCATTTAATTGGGTTTGGACTAAAAGGGTTGGGCGGAGGAGAGTTGCCAGCTTTACCATAGTGACCGCCAGAGGGCGGTCTGCAAAGCCCCTACCACCCTATCCACTACCTCCTTGCCGCGCTGTAGCTTGCTCTTCATCTAGCTTCTAGACTCTTTGTGGCCACGGGTTTCTCTCTACCATTTTCTCCTTCCTCCTCATAATCTATTTATGTAAAAATTTGTATTTTTCTTTGAAAGATTAAACCCCGATTAACGCTCCTTTCCATACCATTTTTGGCCTCCACTTGCTCTCTCTCTCACTCTCTGTGCCCCCCTATCACTAATTTCACTTGTACACAATTTCATTTTGACGGGGAGAGTTGCCAGAGCTACAAAATGGAAATTAAATTACTTGAAAATTTCGTAATTAAAGTAACTTTCACATGGCAAACACAGAATCCCCACAACCCCTTCAGTACCAAAAACTCATCGAACCAACAAAGTTACCTTTTTTGTGCTGCGTTTGGCGCGGCAGGCCCCCAGGGGGTCAAAGTTGCGTGGCGAAGGGTTGGAACTAGTTCAAATAGAAGCAGAAAGGCCGAAAGGAAACATCTCTTTTCCCTAGAATCGTAGAATTGTGTGCATAAATTGTACATTTTCCAATCCTTTCCCCATTGAAGATCTTAAGAATTCAGTTTCAGATTCCAAAAATTGCTCAGGAGGCTTGAAAGTCTCTCTCCAGCCTGGTCTTTTTTTTTGTTGTTGTTGCCATCTTTGATAACTTGGAAGTTCCTAGAAGTGGGTGTGCCATTGATCCTCCTCCTTCGCCCTCCACGTGATCCCAAGTTCACGTGTTTCTTATTTCTTTCTTTTCCAGTTGTTCCTATTCCACTGTGTGCTTGTGTTCTGCTGTTGTTGTGGTTTTCGTTGAAAACGAACGGAACGACAAAGCGAAAGCGAACAAAAAAATATCACAACAACAACTAACGCTCAATGGCGGCGGCGGCGGCAGCGGCGGCGGCTCCTCTTGAATTTCAATGTGTCCCAGAGCAGAGGTGGTGGAGTGTGCGAGTGGTCGTGGGAGGGAGGTTGGGGGGGTGGGGTGTTAGTTGGTTATGTGTATGTGTGTGTGTGGGGGTGGTAGTGCTGGGTATGTCTAAAAAACTATTGTCCAAGCAGCTGTGACGCAATGCCTGTCATGTTTCACTTAATTCTCTTTTCATTCCGAATCGGTCATTGGTGAGGGGGGGTGGTCGGACAGAAACAAAGCCAACCTGTGGCATTGAGGCAGATCCACCCCTCAAAATACAAAGCCAGATACATGGAGGGAGGGGAAAGGCGTAAAGAGCTACACAGAAAAAGAAAAATATTTTTGTAATTGGACTTTTGCTAACCCGACCTCCCCCCCATCTGCCGCCACATCCGATCGGGGGGAGATTCGATATTTAATACGTTGTCAGGGGTAGTGAGGGAGGGGAAGCTGCAGAAAGCATAATTAAATCAACAAATTCCCAAAAACTAGAAAACAAAGGCAAAAGAGAGAGAGAGAGACAGAGAAAAAGGTGCAAAAACTCAAGTAGCGCCCCCGCCACCAAGTCTAGCAAAGCATGGGGGAGGGATAGGACGAGGAGGAGGACGGAGCACCAGGAGAGCAGACATCTGTAACTTAACGACAAAAGGAAGCCCGAAATGAAACCCCCCACAAAAGCAGAGCCACAAGATGTGACAGACGCTCTCGTTCGGATGCCGAATCCGTTGATACCCTAGACTCACAGAGATCTGTACCGTTCCCATGAAAGCTACACACAACCAGTCGGATATGCACCTGCTCCAAATGATAGAAACCCATTTAAATGGTATCCGAGAATCACTGAGCACCCAGCCAGACATTAATTCTGTGCATTGTCCTGCCAGGAGCGCAGAGCGAAACAGGAGTACGCAAAAACCATACAGAGAAAGAGAGAAAGAGAGAGAGAGAGAGAGAGAGAGGTAAGTGCAGGGCAGTGCAGAGCTGAAAAAGAGACCAAGCTGATTATTCGGTTAGGCCGAAAAAGGCTTCCCAATTGAGGGAAATGGCAATGAAAATGGCAATGCCAATGGCAAGCGAATCAATTTGAACTACAATTGACCACAAATTTGCGTCATTAGAGAAGGCAACAACAAGAGGTTGAAAGAGTGAGCTAGAGAGTAACAGAGAGAGAGAGAGAGAGAGAGAGAGAGAGAGAAGGAGCGTTGTATGGTGAGATAAAACGAGAGAAGTTGAAAGCTGAATTGCTATTTTGCTTATCTGTTTCATGTGCTAATTGCGAGCACTACGCTCTACTGCATGTGGTTGCTCTTTTCACTCCATGCCCATTTGCAGGGTTCTTCTTCTATCCAGGAACTGGCAAAATATCCAAATGCGTGGAATGGAACTCGTGAGAGTTGGCATTGAAAGTGCACATTAACATGTGAGTAATGTACTTTGTCAATCAGAGAACTAGCTTTAACGGGTAAATCGTTTGGCAGCCCCAGGCATAGGCGGACGCATTAATGTGACCAGATGTTACTGACTGGCTACAAAACATGACCAACATTTTTCGGCCAAAAGCAAAGCAAGAAAGATGGAAGAAAACGCGTTGCACAGCCTAAGAAGCAGAGCGTTTTGGAGGAGGTGGGAAAGTGGCCGGCCTCTGGGAGATGACTCAGACATGCACTATAAATGGAAGGGGGGAGGTGGGTGGAATGATGCTGCTGCCCACAAGCATGCATAACACCGCCCTCTATAAAGCACGGAATTGCGGACAGGAAAAGCACAAGCCAGAGTAAGACTCTATGGATTATTATTAGCACGCTTCTCCCCCAGTTTCTTTAGCAATTTGGTTGATGGTAGCGTAAACTTATGTATGTTTATGTCAGTGTAAGGCATTGTCATGAAACATCCTGAAATATTCATGGGTTTGTCGCAAACTAATTCCAGATACAGTTCCATATATAAATTCATTTTGATAAAAGCATTTTTATTAAGCACAACCCAAACGAACGGCATACGCGGACTGCTTGGATTTTGAGTTTATATCTTGAGTTGCTCCCTGTTTGATGTCTTTCTTGTCAGTTTCAGAGATCACTATTTCATGCACAACTTTATACGAAATTTTTCTTATACTAAGGGGTAGGGGGAAAAATAAACATAAGTAATGAAAGCTTCTTAATGCAACAAAAAATACTTACGGATAATAGAAGAACAGAAATGTGGTTAGGAGCAGCACAATCCAGGCGAAAGTCGCAGGAATGTAACGCGTTTTCACATCGCATCTGGGCATTTTTATTTTCTATGCTTTTCTATGTGGCGGCTGGCTTGGCGGCTCGCTGTGCTCTCTCTCTCTTTATAGCGGGTTTCTTGTTGTGTTAGTTACTGCTGCTTTTGTTGTTGTTGTTGTTGTTTTTCTTGTTGTTGTTGTAGCTTCTATGTTGCAATGTCGTTGACCGTTTCGTCAGTAGTTGGCAATGAAATGCGTTTTCTGTGTGCTGCTGCTGCTGCGGCCTGTTGTTTTTGTTTTTGCTGTAGCTGTTCTTGTTGTTGTTTGATGACGGATACAGTTGGCTAGGTTTCTGCCTGGCCCCTTGGCTGTTGCTGTTGCTGCTGTTCGGGCTAGTGGTGCATCAGAGGGAGATGGCGACACACGCACACACACAGACGTGAAGAGTGCGAGACGGCGAGACGAAGCGGCGACGCGTGAAATGGGATCGACGGGGGCGCTGGAGAGTAGAGGGGCGCACACACACTTACACATAAACACGCGGTCACGGATGTGGGGGGAAGTTCTGCTCTCAATTTGCACTCTTCAGCGGAAAGTTCTTGGAGAAGTTGCTGCTGGTTCGGTAGGGTTGGAGGGATTTACAGGAATTAGAATTTCAGAATAAACACAAACACAGAAAGAGAGAGAGAGAGAGAACGCACGTACACACACACACACACAGAAATACTTTTGGCCAAAAACTGCTGCTGACAGAGGTGTCAATTTGGCTCCTAACTGGCCAAAAAGCAGAGTTAGCGGTTCCTTCTTATCAACCTAGTTTGCACGCACATACACACACACACACACACACGGTGATCCAACTCTAGCCTACATATGTCTGTGTGCATGCGTGTTAGCCAATTTAAGATCAGCCAAAGGCAAAAGCAAATGCAAAAACAAAACCACAATTTCATTCTCATTCAATATTTCCTGTTGTGTTTTTCCCCTATAGATTTATTGTTTCTTTTTTTGTGTTTGTAAAAAATGCATCTAATTTTCACATATACACGCACAAGCGAGCGCGTGTTTGCCCTGTCTGTGTGTGCTCCCATGCGTGTGTTTGTGTGGGGAGCAGCAGAGACAGTGGCAGTGGCAGCGACATGGCAGCGCAGCCAACGTTGACTTTCCCTATTTTTCATGCATATTTTGTTGTATTTCCAGCCAGCGCCGAAAACGGTTTCCCCACCCGACACTGTGCACAAGACGCGACGTTTCGGCTCGTTTTCTTTGGCTCTGCTCTCGTTCATTTCATTCCTTCTTTTTGCCTCTTCTTCCAAATGCCCCTCTGCTGATGCCACTGACACTGCTTCCTTTGCCCTATCACAAACACACGTTGTTTCTGCATTTTTTTTTTCTCTTCTCTCTTTCCGTCGTATTTTTTTTTTTTTGCGATATTTCCTTACAGCGGCGTCGTTGCCTGCAAAATAATTATTTTTGATTGGTGGCACGGTTCGTGGATAGGGGGTTGCGGGTGTCAGACGGGGCCGGGCGGGGCAAAGGCGGGGACACGATCTTAATCGCCTGATTCGGAAACTCCACTTTCACACACACTCCGACACTTGAACGGCATTCCCTTTATGCTTTATGCACTATTCTGGCGTGTCGATTACGAGAAAATAAATATAAAAAAATTAGTCCCGCATACGCATAGTTTTCCGCGATCCAAGTGTTTTCCAGTAGCGTCGCGTCGTCGCGCACACCTTTTGCTCGAATCGTTACGTCCTCTTTTCCATATACAAAGTTCTACTATTTAATCTACGTGTGTATGGCAAAAAATAATAATAAAAAAACCAGTTTCCATTGTGAATGAGTAATTTTGTACTATTGTGAATTGGTAATGCTGTCCCATTGTGAATGGCAATTTTGTCACATTGTGAATGGGCAATTTGTTCCATTGTGAATTGGCAATTTGTGACAGGGAAACTCTCTCCTGTTGCTAAACAGTATGGGAAATTTTCTCATCATTTTGTGAATGAATAATTTTATTATATTGTGAATTGGCAGTATGTAAGGAACTTTTTCCCAAATTTCCCCCCTTTGGTCAAATATCGACTTTTGCCAAGTCAAATATCGCACCGATACTATCGTATCAAAATATCATCCGTATTGAATATCAACAATACTACGGGCGGCCGACAACACTGAAAAAAATTTTTCGCATCGCGTTGTGGAGTTTTTTTCCCGGTAATATCATCAGCTAGCCGCGAGCACTGCCAGCGCCTTTCATTGAGCCGGTTGCAACTCTCACACAACCGGAGAACCGGCCGCCTTCGAGGATCATCAGAGCCACACAGAGCCTTTTATGCTTGAGCAGGATTAGGTGCTGCAGACGCTATCGCATCGCCTGGTGGTGGCTAGACAGAGATAGCGACAGCTAGAGCCAGGGCAGGAGTGAGCGCGCGAGCGAGATAGCCATGTCGCGTAGCGTGCGGGCGGAGACGCGCAGCCGGGCCAAGGATGACATCAAGCGGGTGATGCAGGCCGTGGACAAGGTGCGGCACTGGGAGAAAAAGTGGGTGACCATCAGCGACACGACCATGAAGATCTACAAATGGGTGCCCATTGCCTGCACCAGCGAAAAGAAGTCCAAGCTGCAGCCGCTGAGCACGAAGCTGAGCGACAAGGAGAACTCGCAGAAGGGCACGCCCACTCCGCCACAGATAACGCCCAGCTATGGGGGCCTCACCGCTGAGGACTCCAATACATGTAAGACGTCGATGAGTGAATCCCAGCCTCCAGCTAATGATCGACTCTGTTTCTCTCTCTTTCTGCAGGTTTCTCTGTGGTGTCGGATAGCCAGGGAGCGGACTTTGTCTCCAGCATGCCCTTCTCGGAGGACTCCAACTCGCAGGGCAGCGACGGGCCCGTGAAGCGCCTGAAAACGAGCGACTAGCCAAACATTCACAGCCTCCACAGCAGCAGCAGCAGTAGCAGTAGCAGTAGCCATTAGTCCCTAAATCCAGCCTCATCTCCACCCTCAGTCCCGATATACGGTTAGCTTAAGTTCGCTTATAAACTGCCTCAGCCCAAGACTTGAGCAACACCCCACACCCATTCTAGAAGTATAAGTCCACCAGCTGTCCTAAGTCCTAGGTCCATAGCATTAGGCCCCCCAATTGCGACATTTTATTTATTAACACCCGTGCACCGTGCACCGTGCACCGTGCACCGTGCACCCTGCCTGCAACCCAAGCCAATCACTCACTCCTCTGTGCATTGTGCAAGTTTTAAGCTCTCAATTCTTTATGTACATTTAAGCATACAAAATGTTTGATTCGTGCATGTGTTTGTATCTATGAAGTCATTATTTTATGTACAATGTAAACGTTCATGTCCCTGTTCATCGTCATGTATATGCACACATTTTGTGTGTACACTGCAATATTTACATAAATGTTTTGTCGCTATCAACCCAACGCTGTATATTGTATGTACTCTATATAGAGACCTAAGCGGAAAGTGGATCAATATATGGATAAGAATTAATAAGAAAATATATGATAGATATACCTAAAATATAGAAAAAGAATGCTAGTACGAGTCTTAAGAGGAATAGGGAGTCTTTGGATGATTGTTTCAATTTGGATTTATACAAAGTAATAATAAATACAGCTACAGATTGATAAGGATTAAAACTGTGAAGCATTTACATAAGTATGTATATCCTTTGATAAGTAACTCTTGGTAGAGGCCCTCAGTATACCCGTGGCACTAGCTCCAGCTCTTGCCCTAGCGCCCCATATGAATGATAATGTAAACTCATCGTTTATGTCGACATTTTCCTTGCTGGTTAGGATTCTTTATGCACTCTTCATTTCTGACCCCCCTCCCACTCAGCCCTCTACCCGTTAGATTGTGTAATAAAAAAAAGGTTTTATTCTTTCAACAAATAGTTTTCATTTCGTTATAAGTAGTTTTACTCTTATTATTTCTGGTTTTCGTATTCGTTATATAGCTTGACATTAAATATACAATTAACTTCACAAATATATACACACACATATGCACACCTATGTATACGTATATGCATATATGTATATATATATATATATATCGTTTCGATTTATTTATTTATAGCGATGTGTGTGTATGGCCCGACTGGCATATACAGAGCTAAGTTCCAACGATCCACATCCTTTCCTTTCCTTTTCTTTCCTTTCCATCTTCTTCTTTCACTAAAATTTATGCTAAAACACGCTTAAATGAAGGGAAGCACAGATTTTGCACAGAGAACGAATAGTTTAAAAAAATGTACGGCTTTCGACGACCAAAAAATAAATCGTAAATCATAATACACGTTCATAAATCGACGATATAATTAAAAAATAAAATATATTTATATTTATATATATATATATAGAAAATACACACATGTGTACAGAAAAACACGCGCTACAGGCTTTTAAACAGTTTTCACACACGCTCACACACACACACACACACACAAAGTGGAGGCGAAAGCAAAAGAACGAAAATTGTTTGTGTGTCGCTGGGGAAGAAAACCAACAGAAAAAGAAGAGACAGAGAAAAAAGCTACGCTTTTCTTTGCTGCAGAGGCGGTTGTTTATGTGTATGTGCGTGTGTGCGTGTGTGGAATGTCTGGTTTTGAACCAAAAAGTATAGCCAGAATCAGAAGAGACAAGCAGTTCCAGTGAAGCTAACAGTTGATCGTAAGCAAGCAGTACAACAAGCAGTGCTTGCGCGCTCTCTCTCTCTCTCTCTCTCTCTCTCTCTCTGGAGGGCCTCTGCGTGTGTGTGTGTGTGTGTGTGTGGGTTTGTGTTGCTGTGGGTTCTGCTCATGAATAAATAATTAAATTAATTATTATAAATATATACATATACATGCATACATACACATATATGTATGTATGTGGGAATGCAGTTAGTACACACAATTATTATTAATCTGTTTTTTTCCTCTTCTTCTTTTTTTTTTTTGCTTGGCTTTTTGTATGTATATTTTTAGGCGTTTTTTTTAATCAATTTTATTTTTATAAAAATATAAGAAATTCAAGCTTCGCTGTTTTGCCTATTTTGTCTGTTTGTTTTTTGTGGAATGTTTGCTTTAGTCGCCTTGCATATAGATAATAGACATACATACATATACATTCATTGTACATACATAATACATAATACATACAAATATGTAAATATGTAATTTATGCTGCTTCTGATACACACACATACATATACATACATATATAAAGTTAATATTGTCATTTAGCTTTCAGAAAAATATATCATCTACATATGTCATCTTTTTTTTTATACAAATTTCACTTTTGTCGCAAAAAACATTTCAAGTAGCAAAAAAAAAACAATTACATATTTTACGTACATTCATTTTCAGTTTTTCTTTCGGTTTTCGTTTTGTTCTAAAAAAAAATTACAAAAATTGGCTTTACAAAAGTGTGCGTGTGTGTGTGTGTGTGTGTGTGTGTCTGGACACTCTTGGCTCGAAGGGAGTCGATGATTACCCCTTTGGTCCATGAATGTGCTATCCAGAGAGAGGGAGAGTGGAGCGCTGCTTTCTCTTTCTCTTGCTCTGATCCAAGCTTACATGTGTGTGTTTGTGTTTGTGTGTGTGTGTGTGTGTGTAGGTGTATACATATATATTTATAGTGGTGTTTTTTTTGTTTTGTTTTGTTTTATATATAATAATAATTGCAACAGATTTTCGTTTTCAACCACCATTCATCATCCATCGTTTTTGGGGTGCTCTCCGCTTCCCGCTTTACTTAGTGGTTTTGGATATGTTTCTCTTTCGTTACTGAATCCCTCCAGCTGCCTCCTCCTGCTCCTACTTATGTGTGTGTGGGTGCGGCTGTGGTTTTCGGGGGGCAAGGCTAGACCTTGGTGGTGAGCTTGCCGGTGGCTGCCTGCCAGGATTTGTGATGTCTACTACTAGTGCGTCCCTGTCCCTGTACCTGTCCGGGCTGCTGCTGCTGCTGCTGCTGGATAAGTCTGTGTTATGTGTGCAGCGGATAGCTGTTGTCCGGCTCGCGGGGACGCTGCCGCGGCTGCCGATGCTGCGGGACGACGGCAGCAGCTTGACGGGCTTGATATCAGCACTCGGACTTGTCTTCCTCCACAAGGAACTGCGTGTCCTTGCCGGTATCGGCGGAGGGGTCCAGCTCCCGCGTACGCAGCTGCAGCTGCGGCGACGACTTGTGTGTGATGCTGCTCGGGGCAATGATGGCAGAGGCGGGCTCCGTAAAGGAGCCGCCGCTCGTGGCATGCGGATGGCCCATCGCCTTGGACTTGCCCGGCTCTCCGGGTACATCGTAGATGCCTGCAAAGACCATTAGAACGGGTTAGTCAAGTTCTGTGTCCCTATGTTGAGGTAGAGCTAGAATCTACTCACCCGATCCATTGCCCATGCCTGGGTCCGTGGTGGTGCCCGACTGCACGGCATCGTACATGGGATTGGCAAAGTCGCGCGCCTTGTTCGCGTTCACCGTCTGCAGGTTGTAGCCCTCAATGGGCGCCACATCGGCCGCTCCCGGTGCCGAGGCACCCGGAAAGCCGCTCTCGCTGAACTCCACATTCGAGCCGTGCCGGAAGGTGACGCTCTGCGACGATGTCATCGCTGGCATGCGCGCCAACTTGCCACTAAAATGGGGATAGAAATAGATTTACTTCTGATTTATCTGCCGGATTGGAATACTTACAATGGCCGCTTGCGAATGACATACCAGGCGCCGGCGGCGGCCATCATTACCAGAAGTATGACCATAATGGGCACAACGACGGCGGTGACATTCGCTCCGCCATGGCCGAAGGCGCCCGTGGTGCTCTTCTCGCAGTGTTCGCCTCGGAACTCGGCCAGGCACTCGCAGACGAGCTCACCCTGTTCGTTCTCCTTGCACAGTCCGCCGTTCTGGCAGGGACAGATGCGCGGCGCTGGACGCGGATGCTCGGCGGCAGCGTCACAGATGACCTCAGCGGTGCTGCGGTGGGAGGGCAGCGGGCCGGAGGTGTCGGGGCAGGCGCAGCGTCGGCCGCCCGGCACCAGCAGGCAGAGATGGGAGCAGGTGGAGTTGTCGCAGGGATTCGGCAGCGAGGTGTTGTAGCGCTTGTCGTGGTAGACCTTGAGGCCGGACGGATTCACCAGGTTGCGGTGGAGCACCACCTGAACGCCGCGACCGAACTTATCCTGCCGCAGCAGTTCGCCGGTGTCGCGCGTCACCCAGAACATGTTGGACTCGAAGAGATCCAGCGAGACGGGATGTCGCAGCTGATCGCCCTTCACGATGGCCTTGCGCATGGACCCATCGGCCCGCATGGACTCGATGACATTCAGCTTCGTGTCCACCCAGTAGATGATGTGATCCTGCGAGTAGTCGATGGTCAGACCGGCGGGATGTCGAATCTGTACAGTGATTAGGGGTCGCCGCTTGGAGCCGTCCATCCAGGAGACCTCGATCTTGGGCGCAGAGCCCGCATCCGACCAGTAGATGCGTCCCAGCTGTGGGTTCACCGCTATCGAGGTGGGCACCTCCAGTCCCGCATTCACGATCGAGCGACGGTAGCGTCCGTCCGTCTTGGCCACCATGACACGGCCGCGTGGCTTGGAGCCCGTGCGGTCCATCTCCGTCCAGTAGAGATTCGAGGCGAGCCAGTCAACGGCCACGGCCGTCGGCTTGGAGCCGCCCTTCATGTTCAGGTCCTGGGCAAAGCCAATCTTGGCCCGCCCATCGATGGCGTTGACCATGTAGGAGCGCTTGATGGTCTTGTCATAGCTGTCCGCCCAGAAGATGATCTGCTGCTGGGCATCATAGTCCAGCGCCTCGATGCGCTTCTCGGCGGCAATCACATCGAACTCCTCGCGCTTCTGCAGATCGAGGCCGCGTATCTCCTGGCCATTGGCAAAGACCAGGACGACATCCTCCTTCTCCGCACGGCAGACGCCGCTGGCCCCATCCGCCAGATGGAAGCCCTCGCGGCAGCTGCACGAGTAGGTGCCATTCAGATTGTGGCACTGATGCGAGCACGTGTGCTGCCGCGTGAGGCACTCGTCCACGTCCGCGCACTTCTTCTTGTTGTCGTGGGCAATGATGTAGCCCGGATAGCAGGTGCAGATGTAGCCACCGTCTGTCAGATTGTGGCAGTGATGCTGGCAGCCGCCGCGCGTCTGCTCCGAGCAGCTGGCCGTGTGATGGCAGCCCAGCTCGTCGCTGGCATCGGTGCAGTCGTCCGAGAAGTCGCAGACCTGCGACCGCTCGATGCAGTGCTTGTTGGCGCACTGGAACTGTGTGTAGAGGTCGCAGGGCTTCTGCTTGCTGGCGCACAGGGTCATGTTGTTCTCGTCGCTGCCGTCGCCGCAGTTGTCGACACCGTCGCAGATCTGGTAGCGGGCCACGCATCGATGGTTGGCGCACTGGAAGCGCCGCAGAGTGTCACAGTTGAAGTCGCTGCAGACGTTCGGGTCCTCGTCGCTGCCGTCGCCGCAGTCGTCGGTGCCGTCGCAGAGATCCGAGAGGGATACGCACAGATTGTTATTGCACTGGAAGCGAGACTCCGGGCAGTAGCGGCCGCCGGGGAAGCGCGGCGGGCAACCCACCTCGTCGGACATGTCGCGGCAATCGCGATCCCCATCGCAGCGGAAGTACGAGGCAATGCAGTGGCCCGAGGC